AGAAAAGTTCTGGAAGTCCCCACTAGGTTGGCTAGATACAGAGTGCTGATTGGTATATTTACAAACTTTGAGCAGACACAGAGTGCTGACTGGTGTATTTACAATCCCTTAGCTAGACATAAAAGTTCTCCAAGTCCCCACTAGACTCAGGAGCCCAGCTGGCTTCGCCTAGTGGATCCTGTGCCAGGGCCACGGGGGAACTGCCTGCCAGTCCTGTGCCATGCACGGGCACTCCTCAGCCCCTGGGCAGTTGATGGGACTCCACGAAGAGGAGCAGGGGGCAGCGCTAGTTGGGGAGGCTCCGGCCCCGTGGAAGAGGTGCGTGGAGCGCTGGTTTTGGGCATGGTGGGCTGCAGGTCCTGAGCCCTGCCCCACTGGGAGGCAGCTGAGACCCGGCTAAAATTCGAGTGCAGTGCAGGAGGCCAGCACTGCTGGGGGACCTGGTTTGCCCTCTGCAGCTGCTGGCCCAGGTGCTAAGCCCCTCACTGCCCAGGGCCTGCGGCACCAGCCAGCAGCTCCAAGTGCAGACCGCCAAGCCCACACCCACCAGGAACTCGCGCTGCCCCAAGAGAGCCATGTGCAGCCCACACTCCCACCTCCCCCTCTCCCTCCACACCTCCGCCAAGTAGAGGGAGCCCTCTCTGACCTCAGCCAGCCCAGAGAGGGGCTCCCATGGTGCCATGGTGGGCTGAAGGGCTCCTCAAGCGCTGCCAGAGTGGATGCCGAGGCCGAGGAAGCACCAAGAGTGAGAGCTGCTAGCATGTTGTCACCTCTCAATCCCCCCCTAAACAGGACACCCCAACTGCTGTTGGGAATTTGGCCGATGACTGCTTTAGCTACTTCCTGCTGGATAGGGGCCATGAAGAGGCCCTGCAGTTGTAGTGTCCTCCAGAGGGGAGCTCTCTAGGCCAGTGAAAGTGCTAGCAGGTCGGTCCAGGGGTCCTCAGTAGAAGTTGTTAGTTGAACTCATTTGGGGTTCCATTTGTAAGACTATTTGTAGCTTGATGGTCTCAATTCTAGAGGAAACAAATTTGACAAGAAGGTTAAAAATACAGGGCCCAAAGGCGAGGAACAGCAAGATGGCTGCCACGGGACCTAGAAAGGGGAGACTGCCATGCTGCCCAACTCCAGAGGTATAAGAGTTTGAAAGGCTTTGATTTCAGAAGCCTTTTTCTGTAAACGCTGGGTGGCATCTCGTACTATCCCTGACTGGTTAGTGTAAAAACAACACTCTTCCTCTAAGAAGGTGCAGAATCCTCCTTTCTCAGCAGTGAGGAGGTCTAGGCCTCAGCGGTTTTGGAAAGTCACTGCTGCCAAAGAGTCTATTTGGGATTGTAGAGTAAGGATAGATTTCGTTATTTCTTGCAAACTGTCTGAGAAGTACTTTGACAGTGTGTGGTAGTAGGATAATGAAGTAGATAAACCGGCTATTCCGGTTCCTGTAGCAGTAGCCATTCCTAACCCTATAGGTAGGGGTAATAGTTGTATGGCTCTGTGCTGATGGACTTGAGCTTTGAGGGGTACTGATAAAGTCTGATTTCCGGGGGCAATGTTAATGTTGGGACTTAGAAAGACTAAGGTGCAGGTACCTGTCCAGTTAGTGGGGAGGCAGATATAGGTCGACATTCCACATAAGAAGAATATACC